CACAACCTTGCTTGCTGAAAGTGAAGAGGACTTGAAGCACTTACTGATGAAGATCAAAGACCACAGCCTTCAGTATGGGTTACACCTCAACATAAGAAAATAAAAATCCTCACAACTGGACCAATAAGCAACATCATGATAAATGGAGAAAACATTGAAGTTGTCAAGGATTTCATTTTACTTGGATCCACAATCGACACCCATGGAAGCAGCAGTCAAGAAATCAAAGAATGCATTGCATTGGGCAAATCTGCTGCAAAAGACCTCTTTAAAGTGTTCAAAAGCAAAGATGTCACCTTGAAGACTAAGGTGGGCCTGACCCAAGCCACAGTGTTTTCAATTGCCTCATATGCTGCAAAAGCTGTACGATTAATAAGGAAGACCAAAGAACTGACGCCTTTGAATTATGGTGTTGGCCAAGAATATTGAATATACCATAGACTGCCAGAAGAACAAACAAATCTGTCTTCGAAGAAGTACAACCAGAATGCTCCTTAGAAGCAAGGATGGTGAGAGTTCGTTTCACATAGTTTGGACATGTTATCCGGAGGGATCAGTCCCTGGAGAAGGACACTATGCTTGGTAAAGTAGAGGATCAGGGAAAAAGAGTAAGACCACCAACGAGATGGATTGACACAGTGGTTGCAACAATGGTCTCAAGCATAACAATGGTTGTGAGGATGGCGTAAGACCAGGCAGTGTTTCGTTCTGTTTTACACAGGGTCACTATGAATCAGAACCAACTTGACGGTACCTGATAACAAAAACAACAACAGAGTAATATTTATAGAAGTATGGGCAGAGATAAGGGATCAATAAGATATGTCAGGGCACCCAGGAATTAGCAGCAGCAGGGAGGAATAGATGTTACTGGAGCCTCAGGGAGGCATTATAGAACCGATGTATACTGATAAAGAACTGATGTTAGAGTGAATGAACCAGAATTCTGGCAGTATGGGTGGTGGTGACGGTGGTGGTGGAATGGGTATAAAGAGATAGTCACACTATCCATTGTAGTATTTTACATTTATTATTTTATTTAATCCTTACCAGGGCCCTATGAGACAGATTATTTCTGAATGCCTCTTCTTCTGATCCTTGGTTGCTTATGTTGCTTGACTCCCATGGTTTGAACAGCATCATATTTTAATAAATCTCCTGATACTTGGCCTGCAAGTTTCTGTCCTAATTTACCACATCTCAGGAACTCATGGATCATAACCCAAGAGGTGGGAGATTGGTCCAGTATTTGTAGCACATCCTATGTACTTTCATGCCCTTATATGTTTTATCTTACTTTATTGCTCCCACTTGGATTTTCCTTTATCCCATGACTGTTCAAACCCTTTAAGGCCTAAACTAAGCATCAGTCCTCTGTAAAGCCTTATGTCTTAGTTACTTAGTGCTGCCATAACAGAAAATACCACAAGTGTGTGGCTTTAAAGAACAGAAATGTGTTTTCTCATTGCTCTGTAGCCTAGAAGTCCAAATACAGGGTATGGCTCTAGAGGGAGGTCCTTCTTTGCCTATTTCAGCTTCTAGTAGTCACAGGCCATCTTTGGTATTCCTGGTAGTGTAGATCCATCTGCCTATGTGTTTGTCTTCATATGGTGCCTTCCTCCTGTGTGTGTCTCTTGTTGTTCTGCTATTTTATGATTCAGAAGTGATTAAGTTTAGGAACCACCCCCCCTCCTCTGGTGTAGTCTCATTAATGTAACAAAAGAAAACCCAATTTCCAAAAAGGATCACATCCACAGGTATAAGGGCCAGAACTTCAATACGTATTTCGGCAGACACAATTCAGTCCACAACACCTTCCCAGAATTCTCTTGTCAGAGTTTACATCTGATCTCTCATAACATCATTTTTACAATTTTTAAAACATAAAATCTTTTTTTCTTTATTAGTTGTCTTTTTGTGCCCCTCCCAACTCTGCCTCAAGATGCTCCATTTCTTGAAGTGAGGGACCTTGCTATAATCATCTTTAAGTATCTACTACTTTACTCCTAGTAGGAGCTTCATTGAACTTTTAAAAATTAAATGGAGCATTGAGGAGAAGCTCCAATCCCTAAGCTTTTCTTTCTTCTAAAGATGAAAACTTCATAGATATTTAATGTGTTTATTTAATATAAGTAGGCTAATCAGAAATATGTATGCATTTACATATTATAATGCTCAAGCCAGGATTTAAGATAAAATCAAATTTTTAATAGATAAGGAAGGTAGAAAGATCTGAAGCTGGAGAAGTTAATATGCTCAGTTCTTGACATATGCTCTTACCCGTATCCTGGACTGAAGGCACTGTTATTGGATTTCTTTTACCTCCATGAATGGGTCCCATTCCCTCAACTCAGGTGCCTGCAAACTGTTTGCTTGTCCTTAAAAGATTTTCTCAACACTCATCCTTCAGCTTGCAGTTGCAAAGTCTTCCCAGTTCATTGTCCAGCTTTCACATGCATATGAGGCGATTGAAAACACCATGGCTTGAGTCAAGTGCGCCTTAGTCCTGGAAGTGACATCATACTAGTTGGCAAATAAATAAATCCAGAAATGGGTCCTTCTCCCCTCCCTTCTCTTCCCAAAGTCTATAGTCAAATGTTTAGTTTGGTGCTAAATGCCATTTCGTTCTATCAATCGTTTATTTTTGTGAAATAAGAGTTAACCAAGTTATTTTGCCTTGGAAGTTACAAAAACAAAATGATAATGTATTTTTTAAATAAAGTGTTTGAGTTTCTTTAAATTTTTTAATAAAAGTATCGTGAAGATTATCTTCTGTTTCAATAAATTTGAGCTTCTAATGAGAGGTCCAAAATTTAGCATACTGCCTGCACGTAATTAATAGTAGGTGAGTACATTTTTAGCAAATTGAATTGAACTTAAAATTTCATTAAATAATGTTCTTTTACATCCAGCGACATGTCTCTATCGTTATCTAATTATGATAAACCTCAACACAAATCCTTCTTTCAGGTACAGCTTAGAAAATGTCTACTACGGATATTCGCAAAGCAAAAGAAAGCGCGGAGACGTTCATGACTAGCTGCGCCTTGTGCTTAGCTCCAGGAAATTCTGGCTAGAATGCCCTACGTTTATTCCCCCTCAATTCAGAGGTTTCTCAATGTCGGTAGCTGAAGCATAACTATCGAGACTTTCTCTAGCTTAAGGTTCCTAGTGTCAAGGAACCCGTATCAAAGCCGGTCAGATTGACAGAGACTTTGTCCAATAGTATTGCAGAGAGGCGTATCCTCTCACGGACGCTCCAATCGGCCCGCAGAGAGTCGCCGTCTCCAGGATGAATGCGGAAGTGAGGCTATCGCACGCCGCATGGAGCCGCTCCTGCAGCACCTGGAGCGCTTTTCTGAGGTTCTGGCGGTCTCCCGCACTACCCACGTCAGCACCTGGGACCCAGCGACCGTGCGCCGGGCCTTGCAGTGGGCTCGCTACCTGCGCCACATCCATCGGCGCTTCGGCCGCCATGGCCGCATCCGCGCGGCTTTGGAGCGGCGACTGCACAACCAGTGGAGGCAGGAGGGCCGCTCTGGGCCGGGTACAGCCCCCGGATTGACAAACTTCCAGTCCTTGGGGCGCTGTGACATCCTGCTAGCTGTGCGTCTGCTAGACAACCGGGCCCTGGGGCATGCCGCCTATCACCACCTACTGCAGCAGCTCTTTCCGGGCCCCGGCGTCCCGGACACCGACGAGGAGACGCTCCAAGACTGCTTGTCCCGCCTCGCCCGCCGCCGGTCCGCTGTCCATATGCTGCATCTCTGTGGCTACCGAGAGAACCCAGTAGTTCAGGAGGAGTCGCTGGTGAAGACGCAGGTGGAGCTCCTGCTGGAGCGTCTGCAGGAGGTGGGGAAGGCCGAAGCGGAGGGCCCCAGCAAGTTTCTCAGCCGCCTGTGGGAGCGCTTGCCTCAGAACAACTTCCTGAAGGTGATAGCGGCCGCGCTGCTGCTACCGCCGTCGTCTCCTCGGCCCCAAGAAGAGGAGTTGGAACTGGGCGTCCCCCAAACACCCGGAGAGGGTAGGCAGGAATTGGTCCGTTGGCTTCTAGGAAAATCGGACATCATGGTTGTCTTTTGTCGCAACCTCCCAGCCAGACTTTTAGCTTCGGTGGTAGGCCGCCACCCAGCGCTTTCCCGGGTCTATCTGGGTCTGCTAACAGACTGGGGTCGACATCTGCACTATGACCTACAGAAAGGCAGTTGGGTTGGAGCAGAGTCCCAGGATTTGTCCTGGGAGGAGTTGTACAACAGGTTTCAAAGCCTTTGCCAGGCCTCTCCACCTCTGAAAAATGAAGTTCTAACTACCCTGGAGTCCTATAAGGCGCAGGATGGAGATTTCGAAGTCCCTGGGCTTAGCATCTGGACAGACCTGTTGTTAGCTCTTGGCAGTGGTACATGATACTGTGTTGGGGAAGAGACAAGGTCTGGGTTTCACCCAGGCCCCAGTTCTCTATGGACAATGTTCTCTTCATTGCTCTCTTGAATATATGGTTTACAAAATTAAAATTTCTATGTTCTCACCAAGTTTCTACCTTCATGTGTCAAAAATATAGTAATTATTGTTGGTGATAATTTTCATTGGTTTATTATCCAGTTATAAATATGTAAAGTGATTGGCTTGTAGTGCCATGTATTTTCTGGATAGAGGAAGTGACATGTTGAAAGAATCCTACTTAAACCATGGAACTAGCAGTGGTTTTCTTTTTAGAAAGCCACTTTCTAAGGATGCTAAAAAGAAATATTGTTCAAAGAAACCATACCTTTAAAAAAAACAAAAGACACCCTTTTTCTGTCAGGATGGTTTACGTTTATAGTTGTTTTATCAGCAGTGAAGGTTTCTCTTTAGCCAACATGTATTTTGAGAAATGTCGGTTTGAAAAGCTAACTGTCCTATTTGGAGTTTAAGCCCTGGATTCTGACCTCGCTAACCTAGTGTTCTAACCAGTTAACTAACCTCAAATATGTTAAAATTTTGTTATTCAGAAAGTTTGTTTCTCATTTCTGTGAATAACTATTCTTCGAGAGTTAAAACCAAATAGTAATTTAAAGCATTGACTCAAAGACAAAAAAAAAGTTAAAAAAAATGCTGAAGTATGCAAAATACAGATATATGCCTTTGGATATTAATTTAGCTTTAGATGGCAAAAGAATCAAACTTCTGAATTAGAAGACCCAGGTTTTAGTGATACTTCTGTCACTAACTAGATTCATAAATCACAATCTTGGATATAGTTGCCTCATATGTTAAGTGAAGGATTTATACTAAAATAGGTAAATTTCTTTATTCCCTCAGTGGCTGCCCTATGGGGACAGTTTAGAATTTTCGTTTAGTGTTGTAGGAACTTAATGTCAGTTTACCCAGATGCTTAGAAACTTGAGAGGTTTATTCATTTTTGTTAGTGATAACAAAATATCCATAACCAGATTGGAAGACAAATTAGTATCCAGAAAGTTAATTAATGAGAATGGAATTAGAGCAAAAGGAGTTGTATACTCTTGTAGAATTTTTCATTCTAGGGTAGAACTTGGGGTAAGCTGCTGTTCACTAGCAAGTATACTTTCCTAGATGGTCCTGGGTTATAACTCTAGCGTGTTCTTGTTCCCAGTGGCCCAATTCTTTTTTTAGTTCTATTCCATGTAGAGAGCCCTGGTGGCGCAGTGGTTTAAGTAACTGGTAACTAAAAGGTTGGCAGTTTGAACCCACCAGCTGCTGTTTGGGTTTACAGGAGCTGCTCCTTGGAAACCCTATGGGGCAGTTCTACTCTGTCCTATAGGGTTGCTATGAGTTGGAATTGACTCAACAGCAGCAAGTTTAGGTTTTTGTTTTTTTTTTTTAATTCCTTGTAGAACATCACAGGAAAGTCTTTTTCAGGAAAAGTATAACCTAATGAAGACTTCTAGCTGGGAAAAGCCTTAATAATAGCTTTAGTTTCTGAACTGTCTCTATGTCTGAAGCTGTGTCTGAGAATATGATTTAAGATAAAATGATAAAGATTGGTATAGACTTAAAGGACATTTTAAAATCCATATTTATGCTTACCATTACTAAGCTCATCTTTCAGACTCCATGCTATGTTCATTACGTACATTATCTTATTTAATCTTCACACCAAGACTGCATTCTTACAAATAAGGATATAGGCTAAGAGAGATTAAGTAAAATTCCCAAGGGCACACATTAAATAAGCAACATGAGAGTAGAAACCATATCTGTCATTTACTTTGTTTCCTAGAGCCTAGCACAGTATCTAGCATGTGGTGGGTGTTCCAAATGTTTGAATAAATGAGGCTAGGATTAGAACCCTAGGTCTGTATACTTTCATTTATTAACAAAATCAAACCAAAAACTAGTTGCCAATGAGTCAGTTCTGACTCATGGCAACCCCATGTGTTGCAGAGTAGAACTGTGCTCCCTAGGCTTTTCAAGGCTGTGATCTTTCTGTAGTAGATCAGCAGGGCTTTCTTCCAAGGCACTTCTGGGTGGGTTCAAGCTGCCAAACTTTTGGTTAGTAATTGAGCACTTAACTGTTTACACCACCCAGGGACTCCTATAAGCAAAATAAGGACCTGGAAACATGCCACTAAATTTAGTAATTTTATTATCCCTTTAGAAATCTATGCATAGGACCAGGGGTGGAGGGTGGGGAAGTGAGGTGAAGGAATGGGAAATTTAATAATTCAAGTTTCTCATGAGCCAGTGGACAAAATGATTGCAAGTCTGTTGTGTTTCCTGTTAATATCATTTTGAGGACAAATATACTCTGCTAGAATTTCCCCTGGGCTGCCTGCATATTTAATGAGTATATTAGAATATTTCAGATCTGAGTGCTATTGTCTGCACTAGCTCCTGTTAGGTGCAATTCAAGGTTTTAATTCTAATGGAAAATTTTTAGTAGTTAATTTTTAATGAATAAGTAAGGTTTTGGATTTGTATTGTGCCATATGTTTTGCAAAGTCCTGCAACTGCACCATCTTAGGAAAACTACTTAATATAATTGTAAAATAGGGCAATGTGCTGTAAGCTTCAAATTGTATTAGTAAAGGAATTGAGACTTGGGGTAGTTGTACACTTCTTAGGTGGTAAATCCAAGAAGGATGCAGGTCTTTTCTGACTTAAATTCTTTCCACAATTTTTTTTTTTTTTTTTAGGGAGCTAGGTTGGTGGTTTGTAAAACAATATTGAATTAAAAGGTCCGTGTCATCTCTGTATACTCAAAAATAGCACAGGGCCTGGTACATGGGAGGCATTATATTTGTTGAATATTGTTTAAATTTGGCATATTAGCTACTGGTGTAACTTTTTTCAAGTTACTTCACTTCCTGAATCGTAATTTATTCATCTATAAAATAGAAGAATTTCATCTTTTCTACCCACTTAGCATAATTAAAGATTAAAATGATAATCCATGTGAAAATGATGTCAGAAGTTATAAGCAGCCAGATTCAGTTATTTTCTGTCTTTTAAATTGATAAACATGTAAATAAATGTTTGTAAAATATGATCCAACCTAATCTAACTCATCAATATTTATGGAAAGCAATCACACATAAAATGAAACTCATAAGATTCAACCATTAAAATAAGTTTAAAAATAAAATGAGATTGAGGGTTTAATATTTTAAATACATTTTTTATTAGATAAATAATACAATAACAATATTAGAGGGAAATTTTAATAGAATAAACTGTATCCATTATCCTACCACACTATTTTCCTTTTTGAATATTTACATTTTTGGATCATCTGTATGCTATTTCCATAGTTATAATAATTATGCATAATATTTGTAGATTTTTAAATTTATTGAATATTTCATGTTTATAGTCTTAAAATAAGAAAAATACCTACTATAGAGGTAACCCTCAATAAATGTTAGGTGAATGCTTTTTCTACATTTAGTAATATGGCAATGTTGAAGATTGTTTCCACTTTTATTCTATTAATTTTTCTAATAATAATTTACCTTTGCATTTCTGAGATGTTCAACTGAATGTATTAACTTTTTATGTTCTGTTTAATTCAGTTGGCTAATATTTTGTCTAGAGTGTTGATTTTGAGTTCATAAGTGAAATTAGCCTGTAATTTTTCATTCTTATATTTCTTTTATTTGAAATTAATGTCAAAGTTTTATTGTACACATAGAATTAATTAGAGGGTATTCTTTTTTTTTTTTTTTTCCTTCCCTGCTCTCTTGAAGAGTTTTATAAGATTGGAATGATTAACTCCTTGTGAGTTTTGTAGAATTGTTCTTTAATACAGTCTGGGCCTGGTACTTTCTTTGTGGAATGATTTAACTACAATTTCAATATATTTTATTGTTACAGGAGCTATTCAGACTTTCTGTTTCTTTTTGAGTCAGTTTTAGTAAGTTATGTTTGTCTAAAAATGTTTTAATTTAAGTTTCAAATTTATTAGAACAAAGTTGTTCTCAGTATTTATCTTTTTAAACTCTATCTGTATTTCTGTTTCTTTTTATTCTTTTTTTATCCAGATTTTTCTGTTTCATTTCTACCCCCTTCCCTCCTTTGTTTGATTGACTTGATTTTTGTTTACTTTGTTTTTTATTCCATTTATCCCTTTACCAGTTGTCACTCCTTTTTTATATTATTTCTCCTCTCTATCTACACATACTTTCTTCATTACCTCATCCAATTTATGCCTTTAACGTCATCTGAATGTCAATTTCCAATATATCTCTCTAGCCCAGGCATCTTTCTTAATCTTTAGGCTTATATATCCAACAGCATACTAAATACTTCCTCTTGGTACTCCAAATCCAACATATGCCAAACCTGCTTGAACTGCAGTCTTCCCCATTCCTGTCATTGACAACTCCATCCTTCCAGTTGCTCAGGGCAAAAATCTAGAGTCTCACATGATTCCTCTCTTTATCTTTTCCTATATCTAATCTTATAGGCCTTTTGGCACAACATCCAAATATATTCAAAATTTGACCACTTCTTACCATCTGTATTGCTAAACCCCTGGTCCTGACCACCATCATCTCTTACCTGGATTCCTGCAATAACCTTCAGTATTCTTGATTTCATCTTGGTCTGTCTACTATCCTCAACACTGTAGCTACAGTGATTCTCAACACTGTAGCTAGAATGATTTAAAACATAAGACAGGTCATGTTATCCTCTTCTAAATATTCTGCACTGACTTCTCAGGGCCCTACCGATGGTCTACAAGGTCCTATGTGATTAGCACTCTCCCCTTTTATCTCCTTAACTCACTCTGCTCTAACACACTGACCTCCTTACTTTCTTAGAACATGCCATGTATGCTCCGCCTTATGGCTTTTCTCTGTTCCCAGAAAACTTTTCCCCCACTTATCTGCTTATCTAAACTTGTACCTACTTCAATTATTTGCTCAACTTTCACCTCTTCAAGGCCTCTTCTAAGTATTCTTTTTAATATAGCAACCTTTCCAACCACCAGCCTTACACACTTTCACCTCCCCATTTATGATCCCTTTGTGCTGTTTCATCCTTTTTTTCCATAGAAATTTTAATCATTACCTACTATTTGCATATTTATTTTTTATTTTTTGCCTCCCTTTTATGGAATGTAAGCTTTTGTAGGACGGGATTATTTGTTGTTTGGTTCAGTAATAAACCCCAAGAGTGTAGAACAGTTATTAGCACCAAGTGAAAGCTTATAGAAGTATTTGTTAAATTAATACATGGATGAGTGAATTAGCTTCCATGAAGTAAATTCTATGATCTCACTCCCCTGCTTAAAGCCCTCCAGTGACTCTCCATTTCATTTTAAATAAAGGCCATTGTCCTTCCTTACCTTATAAGATTCTGCAAGTGGATCTGCTGCTTATCTTGACATGCTAATCTCCTGTCATTCTCTTTTCTATACACTCCAGAACACAGGAATTTTTTCAGTTCCTGGAACAGGTTGAGATTTCTTCTGTCTTAGGAACTTTGCTTCCGCTATTCATTCAGGCAAGAATGTTCTCACCCAGATCCTTCACTTCTCAACTTAATTCTTAGTTTCTTACTGTACTGACTCTATCTAAATATATCTCACCTTGTTCTTTTCCTTCAGGCCACCCATTTTCCTCTGAATTGTAGTTTAATTGTTTACATGTATCTATCTTTTCCCCTGACTGTAAGGTCAGTGAGGGCAAGGCTGCTTGTGTTTTGCTTACCATTGCTTACCATAGAGTTCAAGTCCCTCACACTATGACTGTCGTATAGTAAGTAGCTGCTAACTATTTTTGATGACTATTACCCACCTATTCAAGGTGGAAGATTATATAGGAATTCCAAGAAAAATTTCTAGCAAGAAATGGAGTGAACGTTTGTTAAGAGCATCATCCCCTGGATCATATATCTAAGAAACTTAATGTCATTTTAGTAGTGGCTACACAGAGTATAAATCCAAACAAAAAGATTGGAAGCATCCTAAAATATGGTAACATGGCCAAGCTACAACCCAATAATCTAAAAAATCTTTCAAAGCCTCTTTGTTGTGTTTGAGTTTGATCAGCATTCATCAATGTCAAGATTTATTTGCTGTGGTTAAATTGCCCAGTTTTACTTGCTTTGTATAGCACTTTTATACACTTTTAAAGCTCTAAAACAGTATACCAAAGCTCTAAAGTAGACAACAGTTATAGACAGAGTGGCC